ACCTTTTACACTCTTGTCTTGTGCGCGCTCTAGCTAGCCCACGGGTGCTGCGTGTTGCGTCTCATCTTGTTCGAATAATCCGTAGTATGGACCTCTCGCTCTCCCTCACCCTCTTTTTGTGTGCGGAAATCGGGGGACACGCCGTCACGCGGGAGGCCGGCCGAAGCAGCGCTCCCCCACAAGGTAAGGTAAGGTAAGGTAAACGTCTCCACACAAGTTCTCACACGGTGTAGCCGCTCCTCGGGCAGGTGGCGTAGCACTCGTCCATCCGATCTCCTCTCAGCCGGCTGGGCAAGCAGAGGCTAATATAACACCCACTTTGGTAGCCAGAGGGGCAGCCACGCGACGGGGACTAGGTCCAGCCCTGGGTGAGCCGGGTTGTGACATTTGGCGATTCCGCGGCTTACTGGGCCCCTGAGCCGCTCCCCGTGTGCGATTCTTGTGGCCCAGGCACATATGGTAATGATAGTAAAACGGGTCAGAACCGGCCAAACACAGGCTACACACAAAAGTTTAATAAATTAAGCCGTATAGACCTACGCTCTGTCCTCTCTCAGTCTGAGCAACTCTAGACTCTACAGAGAATGTGCACGCACCCTAGTACCCATCGACTACCCAACCCCTCCAAATTCGGTGCTCCCGCACAGCCCCGCCTCGCCCGCGGCCGCCTCGTCGCCGCCCCCTCTCAAGCACCACCGGCCGAGGTCGTGCGGCTGGAGCGCGTACGGGATGCCGGGCGGCACCACGCCACCCTCGCCGAGCAGGGTCAGCCCGAGGAAGAGCCGGTCGCGCCCCAGCCGGTTCCCGCGCCCGCGGTGCGAGGCCGACGGCGCGTAGAAGAGCACAGTTCCGGCCGGCACCGCGACGACCGTCCCCTCGCCCTCGCCCGCCGGCGCGCCGCCCCGCTGCGTGCCCGGCGCAACCTCGAGCGCGCCCTGGTCGGCGGCCGTGTCGACGAGCGACACCTGGACGCTCGCGAGGCGCGGGTCGCACGCGCCCGTGTCGGCGTGGAAGGACTGGTCCGCGGCGCCGCTCCGCGTCTGCATCACCGAGCTCTCGAGCAGGACCTGCACCTCCGACCGCAGCGCCGCGCGCAGGAAGCCGCCCGCCCGCGCGGCGATCGCCTCGAGCGCCGCCAGGCTCACCTCCCGCACGTCGACCGCGCGCAGCGTCCGGCTGCTCGCCTGCCGAGTGCTGCACGCGTAACCGACTCTGGGACGTGCCACGGACGTGTCTGGGACGTGTCTAGGAAGTGTCCGGCTGCTCGCCTGCCGGATGCTGTGCGTACGGTCCAGCGCCTCGGCCGCGTCGCGCCTCAGCTCGGCCTCGACACCCCGCCGCAGCCGCTCCACCAGCGGCAGCGACAGCAGCCGCGGGAAGAGGACAACCCCGTCTCGCTCCCACACCTCCACCGCCCTCCTCAGCTGCGCCGAGGAGGAGGGCGAGGCCTTGCCCGCCGGCAGGGCCACGCTAAGCTCGGACAGGGCGACGCCGCCTCCCGCCCGCCGCCGCTGCCCCCGACCCGCGCAGGCGCCGGCGTCTGCTGCGGCCGCCACCTCGCCGCCGCGCAGCAGCTCGGCCACCCCCCTGTGCCCGTGATACGCGGCGGCGTACTGCGGAGTGACTCCGAAGCGGTCCCTCGCTGCCGCCGAGGCGCCATGCGCGACGAGCTCGGCGGCCGAAGCGAGGTCACCCTGCGCAGCCGCCACGTGCAGCGGTGTCTGGAGGTAGTCGGAGGTTGCAACGGCGGCGGAGGCGCCCCGCCGCAGCAGCAGCGGCACGGACGCGCTTCCCCGGTCCGAGACGGCGCGGTGGAGCGCCGTCTCGCCGGCCTTGTCTGCGGCGTCGATGCGCGCGCCGCGGTCGAGAAGCGCCTCGACCAGGGCGGAGGAGCCGAGCCGGGTCGCCGCGTGGAGAGGGAGCGTCCCGTCCTCGCGCGCGTGGTGAGGCGAGGCGCCCGCCTCGAGCAGCGACAAGGCGAGCGCGGCGTGGCTGCGCACGAGGGAGAGGAGCAGCGGGCGCCACTCGCCTGCCGCGGCCGCGTCGACAGACGCGCCGGCCCGCAACAGGACCTCCACCACCGCCGCCTTCCCGTTCTCGGCGGCACGGTGCAGTGGCCTGGTCCCATCGCCAGGCTTGGCCGCCTCGACCGGCGCGCCCGCGCGCAGCAGCGCCACGTCGGCGTGGCCGTACTCGGCCGCGAAGTGCAGGGCCGTGGACCCGTCCGGCGACGTGGCGGACGTGGAGGCCGCATGCGCGAGCAGCGGCCGCACGACCTGCAGATGGCCGGCGGCAGCGGCGAGCAGCAGCGGCGTGAAGCCGCTGTAGACAGCGTCGGCGTCGGCGCCGTGCTCGAGGAGAGCCGCAGCCACGCCCGCGCTCCCCTTCTGCGCCGCGACGGCCAGCAAGGGCCACCCGTTGGGAGCCGAGCCACTCGCCGAGGCGCCTGCCGCCAGCAGCCTCCTCGCGGCGCCGGCGTCGCCCTGAGAGACTGCCCTCGCCAGATTCGCATCGAGGTCTGCGGCCGCTGCCGCCGACGTCGGTGGCGGCGCTGGGTCTGCCGCCGACGTTGGTGGCGCCTCGACGTTCGGTGTGGCTGCTCGCCAAAGCCAAGCACCCGCCGCCGCCGCCGCCGCCACAAGGACTGCAGCCAGAGCGAGGCCGATCCGGCTCTGTTGCTTGCCTCGCGCCGCATCGGCCGGCAGACCCCGCTTATGCGGCGGCCGGTGGGTTCGCGCCATATTCGACACAAAGCTCCCTCTAACGACACTGGCGCGCACTGGCTTGCCGGAGGTGCCAGCAGGGGGTTGGAGCCTGGACGTGGTCTTATCAGCGCTGGTCTCGCTCTGTTGCCTCCGACGCCGCGACTCACCTCGCTCGGCGAAGCGATCTGGGGGTGGCTGCCCCTCGAGCAGGCGCGCGCCCTCCCGCCCCGCGCTCCGCGCCGCCCGCCGCGCCCGCGTACTCCTGCGCCGCCTCGCGCGCTGCGCCGCTCTGCGCGCGCTGCGACTCGCGTGAGGCGGTGTATCGACCCCCGACGCGGGCGCATCGACCCCGCTTGGCTGCGACCTAGTCTCCCCCTCCTCGAGCCCCTCCGCCCGTTGCAGAGCTCGCCTCCGCGTCCGCCGCAGGATGCCACCCAAGCGCTCGACGGAACGCTCGACCAGCTGCTGCACGCGGTGATGGTGTCCATTATCGACGCGTTCACGCTGCACCGCGTGCCGCCCTGCGTCCCGGAGCTGGTCGGCGACGGCGGCTTCAGGCCTAGCACGCTGTACATGGACATGGGGTGGCCCAAGGGTGCTCGCCGGCCGGTGTGACCGACGCGCTCTCCTCAACGCGGCTCCGGATATCGGCCATGACTCCTCAGCGACGGTGCGCCTCGCCAAACGCATGGCCCGCCCGCCAGCCTCCCACAGCCCTCCCCTCCGCTCTCACCGCCGCCGACGCGCCGCCACGCCGCCTCTGCCCTCGCCGAGCCGTCGCCACCGCCCTTCTCGCCGCCTCTGCCTCCCGCCCGCCTCCCGCCCGCCTCCCGCCCGCCTCTCCCGTGCCTCTGCTCTCCCGCCCCGCCCAAGCGGCACCGCGCACGCGAGACGCCCTCTCGAGGCGGAGCCCGTCCAATGTCGCGCTAACGCGCGATCGCGTCTCGCCCACGGCGCACACTCACACCAACGCACACCATGTCCCGCTCAGGCTCCTACCGGATAATCATACCCTCCACGACACTGGCGTACACGGCGACGGTCCCGTGCACCGGCGCCGTGCCGAGCCGTCCTCCTGCTCGGCAACCAGCTCCGCCGTGTCTCGATGCCGGCAGCATCCGGTGCGTCGCCGCCGGCGACACCGCCCGCTGCGGCGAGTGGCATGTGCGGTGGCGCGCCCTGCTGCGTGGCCGCCGCCGGCTCGGACGTGGCCGCGGCTGGAGCCGGGCCTGGGTCGGTCGCGGCCAGAGCCAAAAAATGGAGCGCAGCTAGGGCTGCGCAGCGAACAGGAGCGAGTTCGCGCTGCGGTGCTCAGTACGGCGAGTTCGCGCTGCGGCCTGCTCGGGCTGGCACTTGATGAGATTTTATCTCTCGCGTCTCGGCTGCGTTGGCTCGCGCCAAAGTCTTTTTTATCGGTGCGTTTTAGCTGTTTTAGCAGCAAACGTCCGAATTTTGCAGCGATGACCGATGTGGGAGCGCGAGCGGCGCGAGTGCGGCGAGAGGCTTTTCGCTTTCTCGGCTTTGGCGTCTCGCAAAATTTTTTTTGGGGGTGCGAGAGACGGTCTCAGACCCAAAGAGAGAGTTATCAGAATGCAGAATCTAATGTTTTTTTCACACACGACACAGACACAGACACAGACACTGCGCTCCCCTCAGCTCCCGCGCTGGCAGGGAGACGCGAGCCCTGACGGTGGTGGGGGCCCGCCACGCAGCTATAGCGCCGCCCTGCGCTGACATGGTTCGTGCTGAGCCGCCGCCGCCGCTCGCTCTCGAAGAGCGTCGCGCTGCTGCCCGTTCCCGGAGCGCAGAGCGCGAGTTTGGTGGTCAGGGCCTCGCCTGAAGGGGGGGGGGGGGGAAGTGAGGACGTCACCGAGCGGGTGGGGCTGCCGGGAAGGTGGTGGGCGGGCGTGGATGCACCTCAAGTACGAGCGAGTAGCGGAAAGACCGCCCGCTACTCCGGCGGAAGAGTGCTTCCCCGCCGCCCCCTGGGTCACCCCGAGTGACCTCGCAGCCCACGCCGTGAGGCGCTGCTGCTGTCAGGGGATGTTGGGGGCGTGCAAAGCGGCTGGGAAGAGACGGCCAGGCTCCTCGCGGGCAAAAGACTGACGTGGCCGCCGCATTCAGCCTCCGGCGGGCCTCCGGCGGACGCCTGCGGCGTGACGCTCCGCGCGAACAGCCCCGTCTCGGAAGCGCTGCGGGACGGCCTCGCTTCAACGTGCGCCTGCCGGGGTGGGGTGGTCACCAGATGAAATCGCGGCCGCAGCTGCTTCGAGGGGTGATTGAGGCCGGGCAGGAACGGCTTCTCCCGAGGTGCCCGCATCGAGTAGGCCGACGCCACAAGCAGGAGGGCTGCGTGGACCTCCTGGGCCTTCTTGGTCGGGTCGCTCCTCCTGGCATGGCGCTCGGCCTGCGAGCACGGGCGGAGCGAGCGGTGAGCGGGCAGTGTGCCGCCGGACGGGGAGCTCCGTCACCCTATCGCGGAGCTCTGGTCCCGCCCCTGGGCCGGGATGCGACCCACAGTAAAACCCGTCCCACCCGAAGCGCATCTGCCGGGAACGGCCTCCTCGAAACGGAGGCGCGGCGCGGGCGGCGCGCGGGGCAAACGGGCGCACCTTGGGGGCTCCGAGGGGCTTGCGGACGGGCCTTCAGGCGAGCCGCGGACGGGCGCCGGGTTCTCTCCGCGCCGCGAGCCAGGCGGGGCCGACGAGGAGAGAGCTTCTCCGAGCGACCATTTTCCTTATCGCTTGGATGCCCAGGTTCCAACCCCCTGGGTGCCAGCAGGCGACTTCTTGAAGATTCTGCAAAGGGGTGTGAACGGAGAGAGCAAACTCCTGGCAGCTCCCACAGCCGAAATGTGCGCCAGCTGCCCGCTCACCTGTGTCACGCCGCCGCGCACGCACCTTGCTATGTGCTCGCGCGAGCTCCCGCCCGAACCTCCAGCTCGGCGTCCCACTGCTTGGGAGCCGATCGCTTTTCCTCGGCGCTCGCGTCGAGCCGAGCTCTCGGCACTCTACGGCGGGCGTCGCTGTGCGGGGCGCCCGTTTCCTGCTGGCCCGAGCGGAAAGCTCCACGCGCCCGCGCGAGCTCCCGGCCGAGCCTCCAGCTCGGCGTCGCACTGCTGAGGAGCAATTTGTCGTCCGTCGGTGCTCTCGAGGAGCCGAGCTCCTTGGCCTGCGGCCGGCGACGCTGCAGGACGGCGCGCGCGCACCCCCCCCTCCCTCACCCGCGCGCTCTTCCGCGGTCGGCGCACACGCACCCCTCGCCCCGGCGCTCTTCCGCGGCGCAGCCCCCCCCCCCCCCCCCCCTCGATCTCGCGGCGAGAGCACGAGCGCGCCGTCCTCCGGCGACGCGCCGCCACGCTCTTCCTTAGGTCGTCCTCCGAGATATCGGTGCCGGACCGGCGGGGCGGGGGCGGGGCGGCGTCGGAGCAAGTGTCTCGGCCGTCGGTCGACGGAGCGGCGACCCGCGAGCACGCTTCGTCGGCGCCCGACGAGGGTGGTGCCGCTGTCGCTCTGCCGCGTGCGCAGGCGTGCGCAGGCGTGCCGAGGTCTCGCGACGGCACTCAGCCCGAGCCCCTCCGGGCGCTCGATCGTATGCTCGTGGAGGCGTCGCGCGGCCGCAGTCTTCGCAGCGGCGGCCGCCGCTGCGGTGGATGCGGGCCAGAAAGAAGGCCGCGCGCGCGGCCAGGGGCCAGGGCTGGCTCTGGCTCGGGCGAGGGCGATCCCGGTTGTCCCTCCGCGGGCGCCTCTGGTCATGCCCGCTTGCTCGACGGCTGGGTTGTGCGTGCGCGCGACTCTCGAGTCGTCGGCGAGTAGTGTGCGCGGGCGGTGGGTGCCGTGGAGATTAGGGGAGACGTCGCTTTGAGCTGCGGGTAGCGGGACCGGGAGATGTTGGGAGATACAGACACGGCGGTACGGTGTCTGGAGTAACATCTCAGAGGTTGAGCAGCGCAGGGGGTGTGCACCTGCCCCCCCATCTCCGGTCCAACGAGTAGAAACATGTTTCCAAAAAGCAGCTACGCCCCGACACGACGACGAGACTCGCACTCCCCTGGTCGCACACGCTCCCCGACACTCGCAGCAAGCAGCAAGGATCGGGCGGGAGAGGAATTAGCTCAGAGAGACACGCGCTCACACACTCACACACACACACACACACACACACACACACACACACACACACACACACACAGAGAGAGAGAGAGAGAGAGAGAGAGAGAGAGAGAGAGAGAGAGCGAGCGAGCGAGCGAGAGAGCGAGCGAGCGAGAGAGAGAGCGAGAGTACAGTACAGTGATCAACAGAGACCCCCACCCACACGCCGCGCAGTGTGGGAAGCGACGACGAGACTCACTCCTCGCACTCGCAGCACGGATCCAACGGGAGGAACGAGGGGCCGCCCAGGCAGCCCCCGGGGCACGCGCAGCCGTTACGGTGCGCGTCCTGCCCGCCGCCCGGCATCGGCGCATCCTCCGCCGCCGCCGGGGCCGGCGGCTCGCCCGGGATTGGCGCGTCCGTCATCGGCGCGCCCGGCATCGGCGCGCCCGGTGGCGCGCCCGGCATCGGCGCATCGTCCGCCGCGGACCGCGGCGGCCCATGCGCCCCACAGTAGGGCACGGCCACGCCGGGCGTCGCCCGCAGGAACGCGGCAAAGGAGTCGTGGTCGAACGTGCCCTCCATGATGGCGAGCCGCGTCGCCGCGTGGGGCGGGCGGTTGATGGCGTCGACGACGACGACGCCCCACGCGTGCTTGACGGCGTCAGCCTGCTCGAGCCCGCGCAGCCACTCCGCCGCGTCCTTCGCGGTGCACTCGTTGTACGACGACGTGCGGGCGGCGAGCATGCGCCGCATCGCCAAGTAGTCGCAATCGCTGCAGCCGGCGCGCTGCACCACGGGCGGCAGCGTGTAGCGCGTCACGGCCGGGAGGTGCTGCGCCGGGAAGCAGAGGGCGTCGCTGCACGCCGGGCAAAGGGCCAGGTGGCGGAGCGCGAGCCCCGCGCGAGTGCGCCGCGAGTGCGCGAGAGCCGCCGCTAGGCGGCGGTAGCTCTCATAGAGAGCGCCTGCGGGCTGCTGCTCGCGCAGCGCCACCTCGAACGCGAACTTTGCGTCCGCGACGAGCTGCGGCGCGTGCGGCGCCTCGCCGTGCGCCTCTGCGTCCGCCTCGCGCAGCGTCAGCGCGACGCCGCGCCGCGCGCCGAGCAGCCGCGCGCGCGTCAGCCAATGCGACGGCCAGCACTGCGGCAGCAGCAGCTCCTGCCCATCGTCGCCGCGCCAGGGCTGTTGCTTGAGCTTTGGGTCGGCGCGCCATTGCGGCGGCTTGGGGAGGCACTGCCGGTACCACAGTAGCAAACGCGCGTCGAGCTGTTGCGTGGACAGCGAGTCCGGGTCGCACGAGAAGGCGTTCGGGTCAGCGTACGGGCCCTCCATCGCAGCGAGCTCGTAGTGCATTTCAGCGCCCATGCTCGGCGGCCTGTGATCGCCGCCGTACGTCTGCAGGAGCAGCCGCACCTCGCGGACGATGGTCCTGTTGAAGGCGATGGTGATGTTGTCCTTCTCGACCGCCTCCGTCGCCTCCCCCTCGCCCAGCGGCTTGTCCGCCGTTTGGTACGCGTCCTTCGTCTCGACGGTGCCTCCGTCGGCCGCGTCGAGAACGCCCAGCAAGGCATCAGTGGCGATGGATAGCGTGCGCGCTGACGCCTCGCGAGCCGCCTCCCCCTCCCCCTCCTCCTCGCCGTCCTCCAGCTGCTCGAACAGCCGTGCAGCAGTCTTTTCTGCTTGCGCTCGCCGCACCGCGATCAGCTCCTCCTCCGCCGCCGCGCCCTCCGAGGCCTCCGCCGCCGCCGCGGCGGCGGCGGCGGGCGACGGCGTCGCGGTGGCGGCGGCGGCAGCCGCAGCCTTGCTCTCCGCCCGCTTCGCCGCCTCCCGCAGCCTCTTGTGGCGCGTGGCGCGCGCGGTTTTGGCTTGCCCGGGTCGCTTGGGGTCAAACTCGATGGTCTCGATGCCCCAGTGGTGACGCGCGTAGGCCTCGCCGAGCGCGCGCACGACCCTTGCCCACAGCTTGCACTCCGCCTCGACGTCGCCCTGGAAGTGTGGCACCCTGTGCCACGGCCGCTCCGGGTTGTCCTTCTCGAGCTCCCGGTCGTAATCCTCGTGGCGCGCGGCAAGGACGGCGCGCCAGCGCTGCTCCGTCTGCGCAGGCCGGGGCCGCTCGACCATGAGCGCGTCCATCTCGACGTCCGCGTTCTCCTTCTCGCCGCCGCCGCCGGCGAGCGGCTTGCGCCGGCGCCGGCGGCCGGACGCCGCCGCCGGCGCAGGTGCGGGCGGAGTCGCGCGCCCCGTCTCGTTGTCGGGCGACTCCTCGCCGCCGGCGGCGTCGGGTGCGGCGACGTCGGCCTGCGAGTCGCGAGGGCGGCCTGCACCGGTGGCGGTCCGCAACGTCTCGCGGCGCGCCGCCAGCCACGCCGTGAACTCATGGGCGATGTCGCTGTCGTCGGGCGGCTGGTACAAGCTCGGCTGGATGTGGTCCATGAAGGCCTCCATCTCGGCCGCGGTCACGTCGTCGGGCGCGTCGACGGGCTGCAAGGCCGTGGACCGCACGGCGGGGCGGCTGCGCCAGGACTGGCGCGTCGCTGACGACGAGCCGAAGCAAAAAGGGCTGCACGACGGCAAGCCCGGCTGCATTCTCGCGCCGGGACGGCGATCCTGGTCGAGCACGAGACGCCGCCTGCTTTTGCGGTCGTTTCTTTTCTTGATTCCGTTTGTTGCAAACGGAATAGTTGCAAAACCCTGAATAAAAAAACAAAACGCGAAAATCCCCTTTGCAGCCAAGCCTACCGGCACCTAATTTTTGCGATCGGGCAAATGGACACGTGTGAAGCTTGCAGACCTACAAGCATCAGGAGCCCGAACCCTCTCTGGTGATCATCGCGCCTCTTTGGCGGCAGAGGGGCGCGAGTGCGCGGTTAGAGCTAACCGCGAACTGGTGTCATCAGCTCAACTCAACACACATCTTCGCACCAACACAAATCTTCGCGGGAGACGCTCGACGCCGGCGGCAGCGCTACAGGCGGCAGTTTGAATGCGCGGCTTCGGCTCGCTCTTTGCACTGCAGCTCTTCACCAGGCTCCTCACCTTCGCTCTGAACGCGCTGCTCGCGCGGCGGCTCGGGCCGGCGTGGTACGCTTTTGCGAATGTGCAGCTGCAGCTCGTGGGCGCCACCCTCCTCTTCCTGCCAAAGGAGGGCCTGCGCCGCGCCGCCCAGCGCATCTACCCGGGCGGGGACGGCGCGCCGCTCGCGAGTGGCATGAACGTGGCGTGGCTGTCGGCACCGGCGGCCGTCCTCGCCGCCCTGCTGATGGCCGCGACGGCGGCCGCGACCGGCGTGAGTGGCGAGTGGGACGAGCTGATGGGCGCCGCCGAGGCGCGGGCCGCGCTCATCGTGGCCGGTGCAGCTGCGATTATTGAGGCGGCGAGTGAGCCCGGCTGGGTCTACGCGCAGGCCAATGAGCTGCTTCCGCAGCGCGCCCTGGCAGAGGCGGCCGCCCTCGTCGCAAAGGCGGCGGTGACGGCGGCGCTCGTGCTGTTGGCTCTCCGCTCGGCCGCCTCCGCCAGACCGGCGGACGAGGCAGCGCCGCCCGCAGGCGTGGGCCTCGCGTTCGCCCTCGGCCAGCTTGCATTTGGCGTCTGCTTTGGCGTCCTGCTGAGTGCGCTCGCGGCGCGGCGAGCGGCGGCGTCGAGCCTGTGGCCGCGGCGCGCCCATAGCGGCGGCGGCGACGGCAAGGGCGACGGCGGCGGGCCGCGCTGGCTGGCAGGCGGGGAGTGGGGGCTCGTCGCGCAGATGTGCGCGCAGGCGGTCCAAAAGTACGGCCTGACCGAGGGCGAGCGGCTGGTGCTCGTCGCAACCTCGCCGCTCACCTCGCAGGGCGTGTACGCTCTGGTGAGCAGCCTCGGCTCGCTGCTCGCGCGGATGGCTGTGAACAGCGTCTCTTCACACCTCTAGCTGTGAACAGGTGAGCAACCTCGGCTCGCTGCTCGCGCGGATGGCGCCGCAGCGGCTGGAGCGAGGCGGCCTCTCCTCGCCACGTCCACGACACGTCCACGACACGTCCCCCGCAGGTGCTGCAGCCCCTCGAGGAGGTGACCTTCGCCCGCTTCTCGCGGTTCGCCGCCGCCTCGGCCGCCTCGGCCGCGCCAGGCGGCGCCCCCGCCGGGGCGGACGAGGCGACGCTGCGCGAGCTGCAGCTGCTGTTGCGAGGTGCGGTCGCCGCGAGAGACGACGAGTTGACGTGCTACACCAGTCAGCAGCAGTCAGCAGCAGGCGCCTCCCGCTGCTGCAGGCACGAGCCCATATCTCCCCATATCTCCCGCTGCTGCAGGCACTAGCCTCTTCGGCCTGGTCCTCCTCTCCTTCGGGCCGCCGTGCTCGTGGCTCCTCCTTGCACAACATATCATTAACATAATGAGTACAATGTGATGTGTTAGGCCGCCGTACTCGTGGCTCCTCCTCCGGCTGCTCTACGGGCCCGTCTGGGCCGCCTCCGAGGCCCCTCAGCTCCTCAGCCTCTACTGCGCCGCCGTCTGCGCGATGGCTCTCAACGGCCCAAGCCTCCCCTCCCTGCGGAGGGGCGCGAGATCTCGGGGCGCGAGTCTGTCTCCTCCGACCCTACCCCGCGTGCCTGCAGGTGTGAGCGAGGCATACGTCCAGGCGAGCGCTGAATTAAATTAAATGAAATGAAATGAAGTGAACATAATTAAATGAAGTACGTCCAGGCGAGCGCTCCGCCCCCCGAGCTGCGCCGCATCGCCGCCGCCACCACCGCCATCGCCTTCGTCTACGGCGGCGCGGCGCTCGCGGGCGTGCGGCTCTTGCGCACCTCCGGCCTCGTGCTCGCGAACGTGCTCAACCTCGGGCTGCGCACCGCGCTCTCGTACCGCTACATTGGCCGCGCGGCGGCGGCTCGCGCCCCCGGCGCCCCCCTCCGGCTGGCGCCCGCGCCGGCAGTACTAGCCGCGTTCGCGCTGTCCGCCGCAGCGACCAACGCGACGGCTCTCTGGCTGGGCGCACCAGACAGCCTCTCGCCCTCCTCTCACGCGGCGCACGTGGTCGTTGGCGTTGCATGCCTCGGCGGTGTCGTCGCTGCCGTCGTCGCCGGCGAGCCAGAGCTGGCTGGTGCCCTCCTTGGCGCCGTGCGTCGACGCCACGGCAGAGAGGACTGACAGCAGGCGGCCGCTCCCCTCTCCCCTCCCCGCCCCGCACCCACCACTCTCCTCGTCGCCTCCTCTCTCCTCCCCTCTCCCTCCGCCCCTCTCCCCCTCGCCCACGCTGCTCAGCCCCCTCCTTCCCGCCCTCCTCCTGCAGATCTCGCCACTCCCCCCCCCACCGTCGCCGTCGCAGTCACCGCCTCTCCCTCTGTGCCCCGCAGGCCGCTGCACGGCGCTCGCCATCGGAGCGACGCCGTGACGAGCGCTCTCGCCGCTAGGGCCGACGGACCCCGCTCTGGCTCCTTCGCCCCGCCGGCGAGGCTCGCGGCGGCGCTGCTAGTGAGCCGCCGCTCGGCGCGGTCGCCGCTCCGGCGCAGAGAGCCGGGCGTGGTCTCCGGAGCCCGGGGGTCGCTTGGGGGGGCGAGGAGGGCGGAGGGGAGAAAAAAAGGGTTTAAAAAGGGGTCACGCGCAGAGGCAGCTGCGGAGCTGCGGACACCGCCGAGTAGACGGCGGCACACCGCGCCACCTGCGGTGTGCCGCCGTCTGTACTCGGCGGGGTCGCAGCTGCCTCTGGAAGGCACCGACATGTACCTTTTTGCGCAAATGAGGTCACAATCAAGGTTTTGTAATATCACAGTGAAATGGAACTAGCCCGACGGGCAATCGAGATTAGAATGGAAATCGTATCGGCGTGCCGTCCACCCCGGTTCCGGAGCCCGGGAGGCACTTCAGAGATTGTGTCGATCGTTTCCGTTTGGAGAGGAGGTTTTATGCTCGAAATCGGATCGCTGTGAATGTTTGCGTGTGCGTGCGTCCCGTTCACAGATAGGGTGATAAGAAAACAAGAACCTCGCATACGACGACAGTGAGGGTGTGAGAGACAGACCCAGGGAAGGTCTTTCACTACCTTACAGCCCCTGCCCGAGCTCAGGCTCGACAGAGGTCGGTTTGAACATTGCGCGCAGCGTATGGACCACTTGTTCGATGTCCCGCGTCGGCGTGTAGTTCGGGTCGTACAGGTACTCACCAGTCTCAGCGGCATTGCCATGGTAGACCAAGCCCACCTTGTACCGCAGCGCGGCGCAAGCCAGCATGTGCTTGGCTAGGGATCTGTTCCCGGGAGTGAACCAGCCGCGAGAATGCCTAGCCTAGGCGTGGAGGCCCGCGGCTCCTCGGAAACTCCGACCTTCGCCCGCGTGCCTTCCTGACACGAGGACCCGGCTGGCTCCTCCGCTTGTGGGCCTGCAGCCCTCGGGTTTCTGTTCCATGGGCAAGCTGCGAGACTGGCTTCGTGGCGACGGCGACCGCCCGCGCTGGTCGAGGCTGCAGTACGCCGTCGCCGCGTGCGCCGAAGACTTACAGGACGAGCTTCAGGACGAGTGGAACGATTGGACGCCAGACAAGTTCGCGGGGTACGAATCAGGGGACGAGTTCGACTCGTGCAGCGAGTGGGACGACGGCGAGGCCGTCGACCGCGGCTGGGAGTGGCTCGGCTGGTCGCCGACCGACGAGAGTGAGGCAGACGGGCACGGTGACGGAGACGAGAGTGAGGACGAAGAGCCACTGGACGATTCAACCTGGGGTGCATGCGACGAGCCCCGCCTCACCGACGACCGTCGGCTGCAAGACATGATCGACGCCACACCGTGCGTCGTGATCGATTTCCTGATCGCGCATGGGAAGCAGTTGGCAATGCAGGAGGACGTTTACGGAGACGGGTTTGATGACGGGTTTGAATGGGGCCAGAAGTCCGCACAGGAGGCGGGCCCGAGCGAGGCGCAGGAGGTGGGCCACAGCGAGCAGCGGGCCAAGCGCCAGTGCCACTTCTTCAAGCGGGGGACGTGCCGGAACGGCGACGCCTGCCGTTTCGGGCACTCCTAGAGGCGGAGACGAGACACCAGTTCACGACAAGACAGCCAGCAGGGCGGCGCGCCGCGGCGGCAAGGCGCAGAGACATGCGGTGGCTGCCTGCAGCAGCAACGCCGCCACCGAGACGACAATGCACGCCATCACGGTCACAGCCCTGTTACCGTGGACTTCTTTCGCCGCTCCACGCTCCGCGCCGCGCTGCCGGCAGCTGGCCACTCTGCGCACCACACGGCCACTCTGCGGCCTGCGAGAGGCTGGCGACGAGGCGCACTCGTCCAAGAAGAGGCACATGGCGCTAATGTTTGGCTTCCGCGGCACGGGCTTCTATGGCCTCCAGTCTCAGAGCGCTGAGGGCACGCCCGGCCAGCCGACCGTCTCTGACGCGCTGCGGCGGGCACTCCTCGACGCGGGCGCGGTCCTGCCGAGCAACTTCTCTCCACTGACGCGAACAAAGTGGACGCTGGCGAGCCGGACCGACAAGGGCGTGCACGCGGCTCGCGCGGCCGTGTCGCTCAAGATGGAGACGCTCGACTCACAGCTCGAGCCGCTCCTCTCGCCGCTCCTGGACACTTCCGGGACGCTTCCTGGACAGTTCGAGCCGCTCCTCCCGCCGCTCGAGCCGGCGGAGCGGGCGGCGGGGCCGCCGCCGCAGCCGAGGCTCGCCCTCACCGCCGCCGCCGTCGCCGAGATCAACAGCCACCTCCCGCCTGAGGTGCGTCTCTCCCGCTGTCTCTCGGCTGTCTCTCGGCTGTCTCTCGGCTGTCTCTCGGCTGTCTCTCGGCTGTCTCTCGGCTGTCTCTCGGCTGTCTCTCGGCTGTCTCTCGGCTGTCTCTCTCGGCTGTATCTCGGACCTCGCCTCCCGAAGGTGCGTCTCTTCGGCGGCTGCACGGTCCGCAAGTCGTTCCACTGCCGCGAGTGCGCCTCGAGCCGCAGCTACGAGTACCTGCTGCCGGCCTCTGCGCTTGGCGGGATGGGCGTGGCGGAGTTCGACGCCGTCCTCTCGACATTCGAAGGGAGCCACAAGGCGCGCCGCTTCTTCTGCTCGAGCAGCTGAGGCAGTCGAGTGGTCCCGCTCCCTCACTGACCGCCACTGACCGCCATGCCACACAAGGTGCACAACTTCTGCTCCGGCCTGCGCGGCAAGGGCTGGGGCTGCTGGGAGCACGACGGCGAGAGCTGGCCGCTCGCCCTCGACCCATCGCGGCGGCAGGGCGAGCCCCTAGACCACCCGAGCCCTCTCCTCAGACCACCCGAGACCTCTCCTCCACACCTCTCTCCACCACACCTCTCTCCACCACACCTCTCTCCACCACACCTCTCTCCACCACACCTCTCTCCACCACACCTCTCTCCACCACACCTCTCTCCGCCACACCTCTCTCCACCACACCTCTCTCCACCACACCTCTCTCCACCACACCTCTCTCCGCCACACCTCTCTCCACCACACCTCTCTCCACCACACCTCTCTCCACCACACCTCTCTCCGCCACACCTCTCTCCACCACACCTCTCTCCACCACACCTCTCTCACAGATCCAAGCCCACCTCGCCGGCCAGGCGCCGCGTTCGCGTACCGCTCGGTCCTCTTCTGCGGCGTGCACCGCTCCGTCGTGCTGCGAGGGCAGGAGCACCTCGTCCTCCGCATCGCCGGCGTCTCCTTCATGCTGCACCAGATCCGGCGAGATGCAGCCGAGATGTAGCGGAGAGAGATGCTGCACCAGATCCGGCGAGATGCAGCCGAGATGTAGCGGAGAGAGACGCTGCACCCGATCCAGCGAGATGCAGCCGAGGTGAGGCAAGGCACGGCGCAGCCTCCTCTCCTCTCCAGGCACATGATTGGCACGGCGCTAGGAACCTTCTAGGAACCCTCTAGGAACCCTCTAGGAACCCTCTAGGCACATGATTGGCACGGCGCTAGGAACCTTCTAGGAACCCTCTAGGAACCCTCTAGGCACATGATTGGCACGGCGCTAGGAACCTTCTAGGAACCCTCTAGGAACCCTCTAGGCACATGATTGGCACGGCGCTCGCCATCGCGCACGGACTGGTCCCGCGGGACACTCTCGCCCTCGCGCTCCGCTCGCCGCTGCAGGACTGCCCTCCGACTCCAGCACCCCTCCGACTCCAGCACCCCTCCGACTCCAGCACCCCTCCGACTCCAGCACCCCTCCGACTCCAGCACCCCTCCGACTCCAGCACCCCTCCGACTCCAGCACCCCTCCGACTCCAGCACCCCTCCGACTCCAGCACCCCTCCGACTCCAGCACCCCTCCGACTCCAGCACCCCTCCGACTCCAGCACCCCTCCGACTCCAGCACCCCTCCGACTCCAGCACCCCTCCGACTCCAGCACCCCTCCGACTCCAGCACCCCTCCGACTCCAGCACCCCTCCGACTCCAGCACCCCTCCGACTCCAGCACCCCTCCGACTCCAGCACCCCTCCGACTCCAGCACCCCTCCGACTCCAGCACCCCTCCGACTCCAGCACCCCTCCGACTCCAGCCGCCCTCCGACTCCAGCACCCCTCCGACTTCTGAACTCAGAAGACCCCACAGCCCCTGACCCTAGGCCCCTTGCCCGCCGCAGGTCGACATCTCTCCTCTCGCACCCGGCGCCGGCCTCCTCCTCGACGAGATCCGCTGGTTCGATCTCGGCAAGCGCGCCGAGGACCTCGCCTTCCCCCCGTCGGCGCACGCGGCGGCCGAAGCCTTCAAGGAGGGCACGTAGCTAGTAGTAGTTAGTAGTGGTTAGTAGTAGCTATTGAACGAGCAGCAAGTAAGTGGCTAATTAGAGGCCTTCAAGGAGGACCCTCCTCAAGGAGGGCCCTCCCCCCCTCCAGCCGCACGACAGTGCGCCGCGAGCAGGTCACCAGCAGCCGGCCCCCCATCTCACCGGCAGGCGGGTGTGCCTCGTCGTAGGAGGCGTCCCTCTACCCACACGTCGCAGAGCGGCTCGCCTCAGAGGAGTCGCTCGAGCGTTTCCTCGGCCGGATGCGAGACTCGTTCGGAGGGGCGAAGCACTACTCCGCCGCCGACTACGCGCGGCTCAGGCGCGTCAACGCCGGGCTGGCCGAGGCGACACTTCCTGGACACTTCCTGGACACTTCCCTGCAGGCGCGTCAACGCCGGGCTGGCCGAGGCGACGAGCCGGCGCGGCGCAGGGCGAGCCGGCGGGCCGGGCGGGGAGGGCGGCGGCGAGGGCGGCGGCGAGGGCGGCGGCGAGGGCGGCGGCGAGGGGGCGGCGGTGGCGGCCGCCGCGCCGGCGGAGAGCGGGTGCGGCCCTGCGCCGGTGAGGGACGGGCGGAGGGGCGGGGCGGTGGTGGAGCGGAGGAGGGTTGGCCTTCCAGGCGGGCTGAGCGTCCAGATCTGCGTCCACTATGGCCTTGCGCCCGGCCCTCGCAGCAGCCAGATGCTCGAGGGGCTGCGCGAGCGCCTCGAGCGCGGGGAGGTGCTCGCGCGGCAGCCGTACGAGTACTACCTCGGCAAGCTCGAGGAGGTGCACGGGAAGCCGCCGCCGCGGCCGGCGGAGGCGATGGAGGAGGGCCGCGGTGTCGCCGCGGGGTCGGTGAGTGAGGTGCGGGTTTGGTGCTGATTTCGGTTGACACGCAGCGAGCGCGACCTATATGGTAACGAATTCCTCACAGACGCACTCCACAAGCACAACTCACAAACACAATGAACCTACCAGGCGCGCGTGTGGGGGAGCACGGCAGCGCGGGGCAACGGCCCCGGTTGTGTTTTGTGCATTATTGTGTGGGGGCGCGCGCGCTCACGCCCCCCTCTTTTGGCGATTCCCTTGTCCAAAGTTCGAGTGATAGCCAAAGATACACTTGACTATACGTTTCAAAGATACACCTTTATAACATTACACCGGTGTATCTTCAAGATACACCTCTTCGTTTGGGCCGCGGTGTATCTTCGTATGAAGATACACCTCTTCGTTTGGGCCGGGCCGTGTATCTCCCAAAGGGGGGGGGCGTGAGAGTCCTTGGCGCGCGGCGGGAACCGCGGGCGCACTTTATGAACGTTGACCCCCCGCGGCCGTGCAAGCGGAGCGAGATGGTGCACAGTGCAAGTGGGGGCACTGTGTGGGCTCCACACAGGACTCAATATGTGCCGTCTTCCGTGGCGAGGGCTCCTTGGTGACGGGGGCCCTCACCACGTTGCTCAGTCGCGGACCCTCACGCCTCAGCCGGTGTAATCATGAACGGTCGGCGTTTCCGGGCCAGCTCGAGGGGCAAGGCAAGTGCTTCCACCGATCGAGGGGTCCCGTACCACGCGGAATCGACCCTATCCAGTGCTCAAGTGCTCAAGTAGAGTGGTTGAAGGGGACGGCCGCGAAAAGAAGATGCATTTTTTCATCATTGCGAAGGAGACACAGGAGTGCGGGGCCACGATGCAGGCTGAGGCAAACCTCCGAGCGACGCTGGCGGCGGGCACTCAGCACAGCATCTTCATCGACGGCGAGGGCCGGCTCTTCTCGTCCGGCAACGGACTTTATTTGGAGACCGATGAGATCGAGGTCGGCGAAGATCTCGAGTCCGAGGAGGCCCTGGCTGTCAATGGGCTGCTCGGTCACGGCGAGGGCGTGACGCGGCTCAACACGCCGACCCGCCTCCCGTCGATGGGAGGCGAGCGCGCCGTGAGCGTGTCGGCTGGAGCGGTCCACAGCCTCGCCATCGCCGCCGACGGCAGCGTTTGGAGCTGGGGCTGTGCTTGCCGGCTGGGCCACGGCGACGACGAGAACCAGATGCAGCCGAAGAAGATCGAGGCCTTCACCGGGCAGCGCGTCGTCACTGTCTCGGCGGGGTCGAATCACAGCCTCGCCATCACCGTCGACGGCGCTGTGTGGACCTGGGGCTTGGGCGGCCGCCCGCTGGGCACGTCCAACAACCTGCTGCCCAAGAAGATCGAGTCCATGGAGGGGCGGCGCGTGGTCGCTGTGTCGGCGGACCTCATGCACAGCCTCGCCATCACTACCGACGGCGGGGTGTGGAGCTGGGGCGAGGGATGCTCCGGCGTGCTGGGCCACGGTGACCGCGAGGACCAGCTGCTGCCCAAGAAGATTGAGGCCTTCGAGGGGGAGCGCGTCACCGCCGTGTCGGCGCAAAACAACCGAAGCGTCGCCGTCACCGCCGACGGCGCCGTCTGGTCGTGGGGCCTTAACCACGGCCGCGGCGTGCTGGGCCACGGCGACGAGCAGCGCCAGCTGCTGCCCAAGAAGATCGAGGGCCTGGCGGGCCAGCACGTCGTCGCTGTGTCGGCTGGAGCATTTCACAACCTCGCCCTCACCGCCGACGGCGCCGTCTGGAGCTGGGGCCAGGGAGACCACGGGTGGCTGGGCCACGGCGACGACAAGGACCAGCCGCCCAAGAAGGTCCAAGCCTTGGCGGGCCAGCGCGTCGTCGCCGTGTCGGCGGGAGGCGACCACAGCCTCGCCCGCACCGCTGACGGAGCCGTCTGGAGCTGGGGCTATGGAGGACACGGCCTGCTAGGCCACGGCGACGAGCAGAACCAGCTGCTGCCAAAGAAGATCGAGGGGTGGGTGGTGCGGCCGACCCCCAAGAAGAGGACGCGGGCCTCGGCGGCGTCTCCCAAGACGGCCGGGGTCTGAGGACGAGGGCACGAGGTCGAGCACGCTCGTGCCTCTCGGTGGGAAACTGCTGCTGTGGCTCTGTGGAGCAGGACCTGGACGAGGATGGACCGGAGACACGCGTATCTAGGCGATTGTCATCTCCATCTCTTGGGGGCCGCGGAGTCGCGGCTAGCGTTCGCATGGGCTCGCTCTCCCTGATCGCCCGCCTGACACCGCGACTCGGCACTCGCGCGCCCTGACCGCTGTGGCCTGTGCCGGCATGTTTCTGTGCGCGGCCTCACGCTCGGTGACGGGGACGTACACGCGCGAGTCCCGTTCTCTCTCTCTCTTGGTGAAATACGTTTGTATGGTATACGCGGCTTTGCGACATCTTCGGGGAGGGCACACACACTGCGCAAACGATAGCTGCCTCGAGACAGACACACACACTCACACACACACACACACACAGACGACGCACAACCACAGACACGTGTCCTCAAACCCCCCATATGAGCATCCGCTCCTTCCTCCGCGCCTCCTCGCCCTCCACGTTTGTGCGCGCGAGCGCGTTCGACAACTCGTTCTGGTCCAACGCGGCTGGCCTGGACTTCCAGCAGAAGCAAGTAGGCGAAGGTGAGTGCTACCCTCAGCACGCGCATGGCGCTCCAGCTCCGAAGGCGCTTGCGGAGAGCTTCTCCGCTGCTCGCAGCGACTGACTCCTGGCCTCGTGGCCGCAGCGCGCAGATTTGCGCGTCGCCTTTCGGCGCAACTCCGTCCTCCTCGCGGCGTATCCTGGCCCCTCGAGTCTATCGAGCTCCCCTCGCGCAAGGACCACATTTCTGACTCCCACTCCGATCATTTGCCTACAGGTCATGTTGTTGCTCAGGTCCACTCTCTCTTCGAACACTCGTGCCTCTACGGATGATGCCGGCGCTGGGGTCCCCTTCGGATGCATCGTGACATCTGACAACTGGATTTCCACTGGTTCGTCCTCCTCGGAGTCATCTTCCCCGTCCTCCTTCCGCTCGGCTCTTCGCTCGGTACGTTCGGTGTGGCTCACCCTCCATGCCGTGAACAGGCGCTTTATCCACCCTATATTCTTCTCTCGTTCCTCTGCCCGTGCCTTGGTCTTGTCGTTGTTTCGCACCCATGTCTGTATGGCAATCGAGGCTGCCTTCCCCACTACCTGTAGTTCACTCGTCACCTCTCCCAGGGGCGGTGTGTGCACGTGTGCTCGTGCCAGTTTTTTCTCTTCCGTTCCCGTTTGCGACAGGTTCCCCTCGGAGCTCGGTCAACCTCGCCGCCACGAGTTGGTCTTAGCTACACACAACACCACCACAGGTTGTCCTCCAGCTTGTGCCCGCCCGCGGCGCGGCGAGCCTCTCTGCGCACCACTCCAGATACGGGCTCTCGCCCTGGCCGCGCGCCGCCCTTTTGCCTCGCGACACAGCGCACGTCAGCCGGAGCGCTCCGCCCGACGCCCGCGCTGACCTTGACCCTGTTCCCCCTGCCTCGCTCCGCAGGTGAGGGTCGACGGCGCGGAGCAGCGGCCGCCCGCCCGCGTCCCCCGCCCCCGCCCGCCCGCCCCCGCCACGCCGCTGCATGCGCGCCGCCGCCCCGATGTCCCACACCCTCGCCGGCGGCGCGCCATCTCTGCGCGCCGCCGCCTCCTCCCCTCCACCCACACTGCGCCGCCTGCGCTTGGGCGCGTCGCTCGAGTGCCCTCACCGCCTGCCCCTCTCCGCTCGCAGGTACGGCCACGGCCGGTCGAGCAGTCCCTCGAGCCGCGCCCCCTCATCCTGCCTCCGCCTCGCCACAGCCACCCCGTCGCGCGCCCTGGCCCTCGTAGGCGGTCATGATGAAGCTCTACCTCGCGATCGTCGCGTCGCTCCTCGCGCCCGCCCACGGCGGCGTCTGCGTTGAGATGGTCTGTTCTATCTACTGCGCCACTAAGGTTGGCGGGTATGCACCGCAGTTCCAGTCAGTTCAAGCATGCATCGACAGCACCACCTCGTCCTCGTACTGCGCGTACTGCGAGTACTGCGCGTCCTGTGGGATGCCCAACATCAAGGCAAAACCGGGACATGACTTGGTGAAAGCCGGCGCCGGCAACCCCCCCTCCACCCCGCCTCCGCCGCCCGCCCCGTCCACCCCCCCGCTTTCGCCGCCCGCCCCGTCCACCCCGCCTTCGCCACCGTCGATGCCGCCCGCCCCGCCCTCCCCGTCCGCTCCGCCTTTTCCGCCGCCCTCCCCCTCCCCCCCCCCCTCCCCCTCGCCCTCCCCCTCCGGTGGCGGCGGCGGCGACGATCCCTGCTTCTCCCGCGACACGGGCGCGTGCCGCCTCCTCGACCCCAAGGCGCGCTCCCTAGGCGGCGAG